TCCAACCCGTTACTAGCATGGGGTACCTAATAAAGTGGCTGGTGAGTGTATGTCTGAGTTCTAGTGCTGTGGCTCAGCTCCAATTGATAAAATTTTCCATTTTTTGCTGTTGGTAATGCTGGGAAGGAATTGATATGTGTTAAAATGTATAACTCACATCTGTGATAGTCTCACAGAAAAAAAAAAACAGCTCTTACATTGTTATAAATGGTTTAAACAGGCTTTCAACCTTTGCGGAGTGTTATTTGTGGCCTCATACTATGAAGACAAATTGCTCTCAAAATGCTAAAGGTCACTGCTTCCTCTCACGAAGATAAGCACTTGGTTATTTTTTTGCTATAATCCTACAATTGTTTTGTTCAGTTACTTTCAGACTGTTTGATTTCTATCACTTCTGCCGAGAGGTTCATTACATTTCCAAAAACAGCAGATAAGGCAATTAATCATCCTAAAGCCAATGATCTGTTTAATGATGCATTGGTGGCAATTCTGTGTGGACCTAATGTCTTTTGGTTTCAGTGTTTATAGCATCTGAATCACTTAAAACCATCTCAATTTTAACTATAAATCTCACTTAATTTATGTTTGGCAACCTTACTTAAAGGACATAATACACATCTTAAACAGCTGCCTCAAACGTAACTGTGCTTTAACAATCATTCTACCTTAGCCTGTCAGAAATGCTCTCTCTGTCATAAAAGCTATGCTCTCTGGGCTTTTTCTCATAGTAGCTCCATCTGGCCTGTTCCTGTTTGGCTGTGACTCCATTCTAGAAAGAAAAATCAGCTGTGCTGCTGCCCTCGACACTTTTGTTTATAAATGTTGGAGCTTGGCCTGTTTTATCAGTGTAGTACTATTTCTCTGCCTGTGACTAACTGTATATGTTCTCTTCATCTTCCGTCATGAGAAATGGCTCGGAGCTCATCTGTCTGACTGTGTGTTTCCTGGACGGGTCTGCCTGTGAAGCTGGTTGACAGTTGCCTTTTGTATTTCTGCTTCTGTCTCCTTGAACTTCCGTGGGCCTCAGCAGGTGGCCGCTCACACTGAGCCTGGTTCTGCTGGAGGTTTCTTCCCGTTTTTTGCTCTGGTTGCATACAAAGTTTTTCTGAAAAGTTTTACTGTTTGTAAATTATACATTTTTCCTCTAAACACTTTTTTTTGTGCATATGCTCAATTGACAAACAAGGGAATAATGGAACTAAGCTAGTTAGTACCTCTAAATGGAGTTGAGGAAGTAATGGTAAAAAGTCCAAAATCAAGTGTTAAAAAGCTCAAAAAGATATTTGAAGAAAAGACAATGTTGGTTGCTGTATTGCTGCTGTTGTTGCCATTGGACTTTTTTGATAGTTCCACTGTACTGCCTGCAGATGGTGCACATGTCTGTCTATGTTTGCTTATCACACCCAGTGTGAGAATTCCAGTCAGGCTCAAAAAGGATAATCTAACAAGAATGGGCACTTGGTATGTTTTCCTGATTTTATTATGATGAAATGTTATCTTTTTAATCTTTTTTGTATAGGTTTGTAACGTGGCTTTAGGGACACCAAGATCAGCGTTTTTTTTTTGTTTTTTTTTAAGTGATTCTCACTTCCGTCATATGGATAGGGTAAAAACTAGAGCAAACTATTTCATGGAGACCCAAGTCATGCATTTAAGAAACCAATTTACTATCAGCCTTCTAAAGACATGTTTGAAAACTTGAGTTAAAAAGAAAAATCATCAAATAAATATCTAAAATATTCTCTCATTATTTGCGCATTTACAAGATCATTTTGGAAATACTCATTGACATGAAACAAGGAAAAGTGGAGTCTGTTTTAGGCTCTGACAATATACACTGCTAAAAAATAAAGGGACACATAAAGAACAAAATATGACTTAAATCAAATTTTTGTAAAAACAAACTGTCCACTTAGGAAGCAGGACTAATTGGCAATCAATGTCATATGCTGTGCAAATGAAAAAGACAACAGGTATAAAATATTGCCAATTAGCAAGACACATTCAATAAAGGAGTGGCTCTGCAGGTTGAACCACAGCCCACTTATCAGTAACTATGCTTTCTGGCTGAGGTTTTGGTCACTTATAATGTTGACGGTAGCTTCAAACGGATTCTAAAACCCACAAAAATTTGCTCAAGTAGTGCAGCTCATCTAGGATGGCATTTCAATTGGAGCTATTGCAAGAAGGTTTGCTGTGTCTGTCAGCATAGTGTCCAGAGGCTTGAGGTGCTACCAGGAGACAGGCCAGTACACCAGGAGATGTGGAGGAGGCTGTAAGAGCGCAAAAACCCAGCAGCAGGACCACTACCACCACCTTTGAGCAAGGAACACGATGAGCCCTGTATTAGTCCTGCAAACCACGAGTCCTGAAACTGACTCCATGAGGTTGCTATGATGGCCCAACATCCACAGTTCTCTCAGCCCAAGACCGTGCAGGACACTTGGCATATGCCAGAGAACACTAGAATTGGCAAATTCACCACTTATGCCCTGTGCTCTTCCCAGATGAAAGCAGGTTCACACAGTCTGGAGATACAGTGGAGAGTGATCTGCTGCCTTCAACATCCTTCAGCATGATTGGTTTGGCAGTGGGTGAGTATTAGTGTGGGGTGGCATTTCTTTGGAGGGCCACACAGCCATCCATGTGCTCGCCAGAGGTAGCATGACTGCCATTAGGTACCAAGATTAGATCCTCAGACCCCTTGTGTTACTGCAAGATTAAGGCATTGAAGCTATGGACTGGCCCATCAATTCCCCAGACCTAAATCAGATTGAGGAGATCTAAGACATCATGTCTCAATCCATCCACCAATGTCATGTTGCACCAAAGACTGTCCAGGAGTTGGGAGATGCTTTAGTCCATGGCCCTTGTCGAATTCATGGGCTGCGTCCTCAGAAGGCCAGATTCGAAGGACGATTACGTCATAGCGCGGCGCCAAGGTCTGTTCGGATCCCAAGGCTCTTCATTATGCGGCCTTAAAATGCGTCCTTCTTTTTGCCCGATTTAAAGGTCTGGTCCGTTGCATCCTCTGTATCCTTGGATATCCCAGGATTCATGGCGAGGCCAAGCAAGCTGGCTGATGTAATGATGTAATCATCCTTCGAATCTGATATTCGGAGGGCTAATCCCATGAATTCGAACAGAGCAAGAAAGAGAAATGGTGCAAGAAACATCCTTTTCGTGGACCTGGTTTAGCAAGAAGGTTTGGCTAGAAGCATGTAGCTTTATTCTGCTTTCCCTGCCTCCTTTTTCAAACGTCAGGATCTGACCCAGCATGGATAAAGACAGGTCGGATTGATTTAAAGCACTTTTAAAAAAAGGAAAAGAAGAATAAACAATCTGGGATTCATGTGGAAAATAATATAATATAGTGCACTTTTTTTAGGTGTTTGGTAATTTGCATAGTTGCTCATAAATAAACACATTGTCAGAAAATAGTTTTTTATATATTAAAAAAAATATAAAGCTGACTAATAGATTCTCCATTATTAAAGTGGCAGGTTTGTGACATCATATTGGACCATGCATAACACAGATTTGCCTTCACAAAACATCAGAAGGGCAAAATATATGTACAAAATGTAAAGCTGTTCATGAAATTATATATATTTTTTTATAATGTTTTTTTTGTTGTTGGCATCCATATAAATATACTGGTGTGATAACTTAGTATACGTTTGACTGGTTTTTGGTATACGTCTATTTGGAATTTATAGCCCCATGGAGAAAACTCCACCAGCCACCACTGCTTCACTGGTTAATAGATATGATTTCCGTTGTTTTTTTGATGATTTTGCAGTCGCATTGAACTTACAGTACTTACTTGTACAGAACAAAGCATTCAATGAAAATATTTCATTCATTCAGATCTATGATGTGTTATTTGAGTAGTATTTAGTATTTAGCAGTGTATCTTTTTATGCATTGCTTCTTGTTAATGTTACAACAAACCAGGATACATTTGACAGTCTATTATAAAGTCTATGGTCACTCACCTGTGAGCCCCAAGGTTAATGCAGCTGATGCCCAGATTATAGCGGGACCTGATAAACCCTGGATGTAGCTCGAGGGCTCGAGTGTATGCCTCCACTGCCTCTTCACTACGATCCCCATTTGCTAGAGTAGCGCCAAGGCGATTCCATAACAAATAGTCCTGCAATGAAGAAAGAACAATTAGGTGATTAAGAGATGCCAGTAAAATGTTTTGTGGTTGTGGGTGAGGACCTAAGTGCAGAAATAAATGATGGATGAAAATAGAGATATTAATGAAATAAAATATGATACAAGCTTCCAGGGAAACAAAAGAAAAATAAATGTATTCAGAAAAACAGGAATTTAACAGGAGGATCCTGCAGAGAGCAATGGCCAACAATGAATTTATATAATGAACCAAGTGAGAATGATATTGGAAAAAAGTGGGATAACCTGGGTTTAATGAGGAGCAGCAGAGGCAGAAGGTAAGCAGGAAGGCTGGGATAAGAAGACTAATTAACAAGGAGGATGTCCACTAAGACATAGTGACACTTTGACATGTCAGGCTCTGCAATATAGCCAAAACCTATATCTCAATGTATCTCTTTTAGTGGATAAATATCAAAACTGATATAAATAAAAGCCTTAAAAAAAACTACCAAGAATGCCCTCAGAATCCTCTACAAACATATGATTACGATTTTTCCACTCTTCCAATATAACATTTTAGAATGCTTTGTTTACAATGGGTTTAAAATAAATTCCATTTAGTCTACAATAATGTAAACCAAATTTGAAGAAAAATTGCATTTTTTAAACTCAGCAGAGTAAAAATGCCTAAATTGGAGAAAATACTGGTTAAATAGGCTTATTTCTTGAATCGAAAGCTGCAACCCTAAACTTCAGCTTTGCATGTTTTTTATAGCAGATGACCATCTTCAGCTTCTCCAGTGCTAATGCAGGCGAGTACTCTCCTACTTAGTTGCACTAGCCGCTCAGTTACCAGTGCTGGCCTATCATTAATCATATCAGTAGCTGGCTTCAGATAGGATGTAGCCTCCTATGGATAAGCAGTTCTCTCAATTTTTAATCTAATAACATGCCATACAAACATGTCGTGTGTGCCATTAGTTGTAATGGCAGAATAACCCTCTCTGGGTCACTGTTAGCACTTTGCGTGCCTGTATTGATATGCAGGCTTTTATATGTCGTTATAAACACATGACATGTTTGTATGGGATGTAAATTGAGAGAACCGCTTATCCAGCATTGCCTACTTACTTGGCAAATAAAGCCACTATAATAAAAACAAAACCACTAAAACATAGTTAACCTTTAGGTAAGATAAATGGGTCCCTAGATATTTTGAAGAAAAATTTCCCAAATAGACAATCCTGCTGTATCTATATTTCAAATTTTGATTTTATTTGACTTTATTAATTTAATTATAACATTCCCCTAAGTATCAACAACAAAAACTTTTATCTAAACAACTACATATTGCTTTCAGATATAAAAGTATTCTGACAAGGTTATTCTCATGAAAGCCGAGTTACATCACACTGGATGTCCTTGTCGCTGTTTCCCACCTGCAGGCACACAGGCTTGTACGGAGGTCAGTGTGGCCTGCTCTGGTACTGGGGTCCTTAATCTCTAACTAAGCCAAGCAGCAGGATATAATTATCCCCCTTTTGTTTTCAGAGGTGATTTTTTTTTTGGCAGGAGAGAAGAAATTAGCAAGTCAAATGAAGGGGACAGGATTCTACACTTATATTCATACCTGCTTGGGAAAGAGGAGGAGGTGGGGGGTGGTCAGTCTGATTCAAATGGAGCAAAAACATATTGCAGTGGATTCTGAATAATTCCTCTTTATGTGTATTTGCATTTCAGCAAAGGAAGTAAGATTTACAGATACTGTTTGGGGTTGATGTACTACATCTGGTGATGTGGGGTATTTTTTAAAAAAAAATCTTCAAATAGATGAGTGGTTCTTTAAAATGGCAATATTATGTATTATGTTGTTCTGATGGTTGCACATATTAGTTCTCTATGGTAAGACTTTTGACAAAAACCCTCCAAAAATCCTTCCTGTTGACACACTTCTCTAGATTCAATATTTAGACAGTAGTGCAAGTGTTGCTTTCAGACAGGCTTGGGAAATTGTGCGTGAAGGAAATATGTATTTGAATAATTAGAGTTTTATGGTGCAACATCAAGCAAGAAACATGCACTTGAGTAGTAAGACTTTTCTTTTGACAACATAACTTTAACACTTACGATCTGATCTAATTGTAAACCTTTGAGCCAGAAGTTTGTCTTAATCCATTGACTTGCCTTTCTTAAAGCTATAGTGGAGGATTTTCATGAATTTTTTAAAAGATCCGTCCTCTTCACTTAAAAAAAAAAACACAAATGCACAACCCTGTACCTGCTCCCGAGAGGAAACACCTATTAAACGTGTGCGAGAGAATGCAGGAGTCCCTTTCTCCTCGTGCACACTCTTTTTAAAAGTTGCTGTTTGAATCGCTCATACAAGCTTACTTTCCAAAGAGGATTTGCAATTTTCCCACTATGTCAGACTCACCACCGGTAAGTGAAAATGGGAAAGAGAATGTAGGACGGCCTTACGTAAACATATCACCATAATGATTGACAATTAGAATGACCACTTATTTTGATGATCCACTCCGAAAAAAAAACATCCTCCACTATATCCTTAATATATCTCTTTGCAAGATGTGCATTTGTGATTGTCCTGGTGGTTTAATACTGTGTAGACCCACTTTTTGCAGGAATACAAGGCCCTGGTTCAATCAGCTTTGACAGCGGTGGTCTGTAAACATCAATTTTAAATCTTGCCGCAGGTTTTCCGTTAAGTTTAATGGACTTTGGTTTGGCTGATCAAACATACAACCACACTTTTAATTTAAACAACTCAGTTGTAACTCAATAGTAACTCAATCAGTTTTAAGTGCTTTGCAGACACAAGCTGCCTTATCAGAGAATGCTTCTCTGATAAGTGCTCTCCTTTCCCACCATGCTTTAGTAGGTTTGCAGTTGTGATATTCTATTTCTGTTTTTTGGGTGACTGATAATAAAAGCTCTGTTAAATGTTCAAAACGTATGATACCATTTTAAAACATAACTTCTCTCTGGTATATTTTTTGATATTTCATAAGGTTTGTGCTCAACAATGTGCTTTAACTAACTTTTAAGGCCTTCAATCAAACAATTGGACATTGGAAGGAAATTGGTTTGGACTAGATTTATTCCAAGGTTTCATAATTATGCAATACTTTTTGTTGGTTTATTGTGTAAAATCCAAATAAAAGCCACTGACCTTCATGGTTGGAACACAAAAAAAAAAAAATCAACAATTTTTAATGATACATCTTTCCAATTTAGCCCTAAGAAAGGATGAAATGCAAATGAGATGTGTGCTCTCAAAGAAAACCAAGGCATCCCGTGTGTTCACCAACAGAAGCTTACAGTCAGCATCTAATGCCAAGATGATTCAGAGACACCTCTGGCTCTGAGCCTAATTACTTTCAGCTGCAGAACTGAGACAAAAATACATGTTTACTGAATGTGCACTAATTTACTCATCTGTGGTGCATCAACTAAAACATTCTGTGCTTAGAAGACAAAACAGGACTATCAGTTTATATAAAGTTTTGCAGCCCTTTATTTGTTTTGTATTTTTTCAAAACTGCATTTCAGCTGTAAAGAAGTTGTTTATGTAGATTTAATCCAATGCATGTTAGATGACTTCTTTTACAGCTTTGCCAATGTTTGAATCTCAATTTATGCACTTATTGGGTTGCTCCATCTGGAATCTTTCTATAAAGCTGCAGGCATTTTTATCTCACTTTTGCCAGCAAGATTTAGCTGTGCACAGAGAGACAAACGTTAGAACTATTTTGGACAAACTGCTCAAGAAAGATATCAGAACCACCCAGCGAGTACAAGCGACTTATTTCTGCAAACACCACAGTATGTACCCCAGGCTTATTCAAATGCACTTCCTCATTCAGATGCCGGCATACATTTGAGCTGCTCATAACCTTACACTAAAGAGTTCTAACTTCTTTAGAAAATCAGAAACTGCTTGTCAATGTATTTTTTAAATTACTATAAGCTGTATAAAATCATGACTTGGTTAACCCCAGAATCAGCAAAATAATTCAATTGGCTGCTTTTCCTAGAAGAACTCAAAGAGAGCAGACCAGTCATTTTTCCTTACAAAAAGTGCATTTTTCTTGAATTGAGGAGGTTAGTTAGACACTTTGCCAATGGAATAAGACAATTACAAGACCATGTTATCTAAATATCTTATTTTAGGAGGAAACATACTAATTCCTTTGGCAAATCATCTTATTTACCTACCCAAATTAAGGGTAAATACACTTAATTTACGAAATTTTTTACTTATTTCTGTTTTTACAGAGCAGCAAATTCATTAAATTTGATTAGAATACATTCATAACTTCCATCCATCCCTCCATTAATTTTCCATCACGCTTTATCCCTGCTGGGGTCGAGAGGGGTGCTGGTGCCTATCTCCAGCTGTCTTTAGGCGAGAGGCGGGGTACACCCTGGGCAGGTCACCACTCCATCACAGGGCAACACAGAGACAAACAGGACAAACAACCATTCACACACACACTCACACCTAAGGAGAATTTAGAGAAGCCAATTAACCTAACAGTCATGTTTTTTTGACTGTTATCCAAATGTGGAAGCAGAGTAACCGGGGAGAACCCACACATGCACAGGGAAAACATGCAAACTCCATGCAGAAAGACCCCTGGGCCGGGAATCGAATCCGGAACCATCTTACCTAGCCCTACATTCATAACTTGAGTGACTCAAATAATCCTGCCAACTAGCAAACCAAAACACACGGCCGAAAGCATAACCGCTTTGGCGGAGGACATAAAAAGCTGGGTAACCTTTAAAGGTGAATGTGATCCTATGAAACAAAATGAAACAATGAAAATGTAATTTAAAGGGAGCGGACAATCTTAGTTCAGTTTCGAGTTCCAAGGGGATCATTTTATCTATTGGTTGTCCTACTTCCCAGTCTTCCAGTCTCATGCTCGTTTCCTGTTGCTGTGCATGAGCAACTCCGATGTTGAAGTATCCAGTGAACTTCAGTTTTAGCCGTTAATTGTTTCTGCACTGCTCCCAAAGTATACTCTAAAAAATGGCTAAAATGTTGCAAGAACAAAACTGTCTTCCAATTTATGAGAAAAGATGAAGGGCTCAAAAGAAAGATAAAAGACCAGAGTGTAGTTAGGAGACATTTTTAGGCCTTGTGCATTTGCAATTGTTTAAAAAGGGACTTGGACAGTTCTTGGGCATCCACTATAACTTTGAGTTTTGATTCATGATTTGAGAATGCAACCTCCGTCTAATGATACCCAAAGTAGCAAAGGACATCTTTAAAGTTCAGCTTTGATTAGTCTGCAAATTTCTTAGAGTCAAGAGAGAGGGACAGAGAGAGAGCGAGAGAGAACATTTTGGGTTTCTTACTTCAGGCCGCACTGACAGGGCTGTATTGAAAGCCTCTACAGCTTTGTTAAACTCGCCGGTGAGGTTGTAGAGCACCCCAAGGCCTGTCTGTAAATCCGGGTCAATGCTGTCCGAGTTTTGCTGTGCTGCTTCCAGGAAGAACTCCTTGACCTCTGGCAGCAGTGAGCTGAGAACACGAACAGAGACACACGCAGATCAGGATTAGTGGGACTGAAGGCTACTGCTGAATGAGCGCTCTGAAGTCTGTAGAGCTGTGCTGTACAATGTGCTACCATGTAAATATCCATTCATAGACTAGAAGAAACTGGTAGACTGGATACAATAAAGGTGGTGAAGTCAAAGACAGTTAGTTAAAAATGTTAAGTATCAATATTCTACTATTTTTATAAAGAAATCAGGTACATCTGATGTGCATAAACACATCATATTCAGTGGTTATTTGTATCTTTTTTTTTTTTGACTTTTTGATCTCTGTTCTAGATGGAGATAAAAATGTCACATCTTAGTTTAAGTTTTCCTTGAGAGGACCATCAGGAAAGGATAAAAGTTAAAGTAGAGATATCTTGGAAAGAAGAATGACTCTGAGAGCACAGTGCGGTTAAGGTAAGAAGAATGGTATGTACAGCCATAATGAAAAGACCAAGTCTGTTGTCCTACGGGAATGACACAGTAATTGGTTCTAGCTGTATCTCTCTGCACACGCTAGACGATTAATGATTTGATCAAATATTGCTTTACACTGAGAGAAAGGTTGGGCCTTTAAAATCTGATATACTTAACAACCTCATCCATTGGCCCACAGCCCATCCTACTTAAAAGTGAGATCTTTGTTACTGTCAGGATCCCAGTTTTTGTGTTCGTCTGTTTGTCTTGTCTTTTGTGTTTTTCCCTTCCACCACCAGGAGGCGCCTGGCTCCTGTTCGCCTCCTCACACACCTGCAAGCTGTTGCCTCATCACCGGACTACTCTTAAGCTGCTGGTTGCCACTACTTCGACGCCAAGGTGTTTGCCAGTTTGGGGAAGCCCTCCTGCAAACTGGACCTTTTCGGACTGCCTCCTCCCAAGTGGGATCTACTGAGTCTTACACTGAGCGACGGATTCAAAGCAGGAGGTTTGGATCCAGCCACCTTTGAGCACGCTGAGATCTCTCTCTGAGTAAGGAAGTCATCTTCACCACGACCCGTTCAAGTACCACTGGAAAACTGAGTTGCAACCAGCGGCTGCATCATTCCCCTCCATCCAAGTTCTGGGTAAACCCTGTTCCGCCCTCCAACGAATCAAACAAACCCTGGACGACCAACACACAGACTGGAGTCTACGTGTCTCCTCTTCTCTGGAAACGTGAGTGGCAACAAATCCTCTCCTTCAAGATTAACAACTCCTATTCCCCACTGAACCTGAATCTAACAGTCTGTCTTCCCCGTCTTTCAGTTTTTCCGGCCGAGCAGAGTTCGGAGGAACTCTGCACCGAACTCTAAATATCTTTCAATAAAACCCGTTCAAACTTTTGCTCTGTGTCTATCTGTTTGGCTTCACTGCATGTGGGTCCGAGCTTAGAAAAATCATGACAGTTACAAGGTGGACACTCCTTGGCATTAACAGTCCCTGTTATGGTCCCTGTCCAGGAAACATACACTACAAAAATTTTTATAAAATTAAGTATTCTTTTTCTAAAGATAAATGTTTTTTCCCCTTATTTTGAGCAGGTCAGTTGAAGAATTTACCTATAAATATAATTTACATAAAAAAGAAACAACCTCCATTATTTTATTGTATGTGCATATCATAAAAAAAAATGCAATTTTGGCTGATCATATAACTTTTTTTTTTTTAGACCTTTTTCTGTAGTATAACACTAAATGTATTTATTATCATGACATGTGCTGATAGAAGAGACCATAACTGAAATGTTCCTTGGACCAATTTAAATATTTAGCCGTTAGCCATTATTTCAAAATTGCAGTTTGCTTTAAGCTTTAATCGTGCCAAGACAGGATCACAGTTTTCATCTGTTTTATCCACAATCTGCAACCTTGGCTTTGTGGCTCACTTAATAAAGTAAATGATGTGTACTTGCCCTATTGTTTGCTTGTTTGTCCGTGTTTGTTATTCTTTTGTCCTGTTCCTTTATGAAAAAAACACTGGCCCCACCCTGGCCCCCTTGTAAATTTCATCTAGAACCGCCACTGCTCCCAGGTTTATGATTGGAATTTTACTAGTAAATTGAGGGTATGCCATCTTTGGGTATTACTTCTTTTAAAATACAGTAG